CCCGCGTCGAGCTCTGTGCTGACGGGTAGCTCAGAGCCTGGAGCTTGCTTTTGATTCTGTATCTCCTTCTCTCTGACCCTCCCCTGCTCACATTGTTTCTCTCTCTCTCTCTCTCAGAAATAAAAACATTAAAAAAAATAAATTGAAATATTTAAACTATGTGAGGTCTGAAATAAGAAGTGATAAAAATCCCAGGGGACTCACATTTTCTGGCATTTTGAGATTTGCTACTAAATTTTAGACTCCAGAGCCCATACTGCCTGAATGTTTACCAAAGCCCATGCCTGACAAGACTGTGTTAACTAATGCCTACCAAGAACTGAAATGTTCTTTAATGTTATGCTCAATTTTATAATTGTCAAATTCCATTCCAAACTAATAGAAGCACAGTACTTAGAAGCAAAATTATGGAACTAAAAGTACTCAAAAGGTATATATGCATGGTTTTTAAATGCATGAGGAGCTAATTAATCAATCCACACTATCACCACCCACCTTAAATCTCATTTCTGTCAAGCACCTGAGCAGTAAATGCTCCATAAATACTGGATAAATGGATAATTAGATCTAGCACAAGATAAAACTACTTGTAAAATAAAGGAATAATAGGTCTCAAGTTCCAAGAAATTTAAATGAAATAGAATTTTTTAAATGAAGAAACTTCTCCTTTTCCTCATTTTTTAAATAATTGCTTCTAATTTTGAAAGATATTTCTTAATCTCCCGAGGCACTCTGAAAATGCATAAAAACATTTAATTTTTTAAAACTGTGGAACATTCACAAAGAAAAGTGCATCAAAATTTATTAAACTCAACAATTATAAAGTGAACACCAGTAATTCAAACCAGATCATAACCAGACTAGAAATGAACCTATACATTCCCTTCAATCGCACAACCCTTTCCTCTGCCCTCTACAGAGAACACTACCTTTACTCTGTGATGATAAAACTTCCTGGATTTTCTTGATAGGTCTACCATATATATGCATATCTTTAAAGATATTACTTAGATTTATTTACTTTTAAATATTATATGTGAATGGAACATATGCAAGGCATTACTTTGTCCTGCCTCTCTTATTATACATTATGTTTATTAGATTCATCCTTAGGGTTGCATATACTTCTGGTTTGTTCATTTTCACTGAATGTTGTATAGGTAAAAACAAAAACAAAAAAGCCTTTATTCATTCTGCTGCAGAAACACATTGGAGTTGCTTCAATATACTGGCCATTATTAAAATGAAAATGAAAATGGTGCTATGAACATTTCTGCAGATATAGCCTACTGCAGATCTGCACACACTTCTCTAAGGTATATCCTTGGGAATGGAACAGTTAAGTTCAGAAAACATGTGGATCTTACCTTATGCTACATAATGCCAAACCATTTTCTAAAGTACAGTTGACCTTCGAACATAGGTTTGAACTGTGCTGACCCACTTACTTTTTCTCAATCAATACAGCACAATACTGTAAATGTATTTTCTGCCTTATGATTTTCTTAATAACCTTTCTCTCCTCCACCTGACTTCACTGTCAGAATACAGTGTATATACAATACATATAAAAATATGTGTTAATGGACTGTTTATACTATTGGTAAGGCTTCTAGTCAGAGACTAAGTTTGGGGAAGGTCAAAAGTTACAGATGGATTTGTACTGCACAGGGGGCTGCTTTCCCAACTGACTAGTTGTTCAAGGGTCAACTGTGATTGTATCAATGTACCTTTCTCCCCACAATGAGGATTTAATTTGCACTCCCCTAATTACTATGGAAATGAAACACACTTCATTCCTATTTGCCATTTGAATTTTCTTGTAAGTGCCTGCTGAAGCACTTTCCAAGTTTTCTATAGAGCTGTTCCGTCTTTTTATTATTGCTTTATTGTCATTCTTTTATTTGAAATCGACATAAGCTTTGCTAATTTTATTCACCATAAAAATCTCTTCTCATTCTGTGGCTTTTTAACACTTGCCTTCAGATAAAAACAGGTTCTTTATTTTAATAAAATTAAATTTTAAAAATTTTTAATAAATTTTTTTAATGTTTGTTTATTTTTGAGAGAGACAGAGAAAGAGTGCAAGCAGGGAAGGGGACAGAGTGAGAGGGAGACACAGAATCCAAAACAACCTCCAGGCTCTGAGCTGTCAGCACAGAGCCCGATGTAGGGCTCAAACTCACAAACCACGAAATCATGATCTGAGCCGAAGTCGGTCACCTAACCGACTGAGCCATCCAGGGGCCCTTAATAAAATCAAATTTACTGGTTTTTTTCCCTTTACAGTTTTTATGTCTTGTCTAAGAAATCCTTGCCTACCTCAAAATCATCTTCGAAAAAGCTTTTCTCTTTGCCTTTTGCATTTAGGTCATAATCTTCTTGGAGGCAGATTTTATATAAGATAGTTGGTTCCCTTCATGACTTCCCATATGTATGTATGTATGTACACACCCACACACACACATAAATGTACCAGCACTGTTAAGATTTTGCTCTTTCCCCTACGATTAGTGATCACAGTCATGAATGTGCATGGTTCTGTTTCTGAGCTCTTTATCCCCTCACTGATATTTTTGGCATTTGGTATTTGTGCCATTGTTATAGTTATCTTCATTACTCTAATTTTAAAATTTGTTTCAATATATTATAGAGTAAACTCTTTCACCTTGTTATTCTTCAGGCTGTCTTTTCCTCTTGAATTTCCCTACATTTGAGAATCAGCTGCTGAATTAAAAAAAAAAAAAATCCTTGGGATTTTGACCAGCATTTTCTTGACTTATAAGATTTTTTTTTTTTTGTAGCACAGATGTATATAATACTAAGAGTTCCAGTCCACAATAATGGGATAATTCTGTTAAATCAACTCTGCATTCCTGAGATCAATCCAACTGTCATGATGTATACTGTCTTTTCTATATATTGCTGGATTTAATTTCTGTATTAGTTAGCATAAGTAGTATGAGATGCTTTAACAAACACAAATCTCAGCGGCCTGATACAATGAAGTTTCTTATTCATATAAAGCCATATGAGAATGTTTCTTATCTCAGAGAGACTTGAATGAGGTTATTCAAATCCTAGACATGTGTATCTTGTGGTTCCACGACAAAACCACGAGAGTTCCCATCTGGATTCTCTACATCTGGCTGGCAAACGGGGAAGAGAGAATATAAAGATCATGTGGGAGGTATTTTGCAGATCAGGCCTGGATGTAGCATGTTATTACTTCTACTCACATTCCATTGGCCAACTTAGTCACAAGGCCACCCACAAAAGGAGTCTATATGTATGCCTGAGCAAAAGAGAAAATGAATCAAAGTGAATAGTCTCTCCACTAAAAAAAAGATATGAATTCAAAGAAGTAGTCTGTTTTGTTTAGTTTTGCATTTATGTTCAGTGAGGATGACCTCTGATTCTTCTTAGAACTCTACTTGCTGATTTTGCTATCAAGGTTAGGCTAGCTCCATATAACGGGGGAAATAGAGTTTCTTCTTTTTCTATTCTCTGGAAGAAATTTGTAAAATATTGGCATTATTTCTTCCTTAAAAATCTGTTAGTACTTGCTTATGAAGCCATCTAGATTTGAAGCTCTTCTGTGGAAATTTGACAACAACACTATTCAGGTTGTCTATAGCTTTATTATTCCATTTTGTTAGGTTGTATTTTTCTGGAAATTTGACCATGGAGTCAAAATTTTTGAAGCACAATAGGATCCTGAGATTTTATGTGCATGAAAAAGTGTGTTAAAACAGATGCTGAAAAAAAATTAAATGGTATCTTTGTAATCTAGTTCACCTCTTACCTTTACAGGGAATAATATTAAGCTTAGGAGGGACCCAAGTACTCTCCTTTCAACCCTATCACATCACATGGCTATTAAGTAGCAGAACTGGGACTAGAATCTAAATCTTCTGATCCAGTCCAATGTTCTTTCCACTATACTGTTTTAGTTCAGCTGGTTCAATAGACTGCATTAATCAGTCAACAAATAAAAGGGAGAATGCAGAAAGGGTTGTGATCAGAAACCACTTCAACCTTGGAAAGAGAGCACATTCTTTTGCAGGTAGTTGCTGGCAGGCCTTTGGGGTCCTTCTCTAGTTCCTCCATGATCTTATTCATATCTTCTTCAGTAAGAAGTGTGGTGTTCAAACTACGGCTTCTTTGAATTTTAAAGCCTTATCCAGTTCTATGACACCCCTAAGTTTGATAGCAAAGATCCCAGTAAATAGTAATACTTCCTTCTGTTACCCCAAGCAAAACCAACAATTTTGGGACACTTAACTCCCAGAAGCTGAATATCGGGCAGCCTAGCAGCTTCAGCTTATCAACAGAAATAATGTAATTCTGTTGTAAATCTCCACACATAAATATTTTGAAAAACTTGATTCTCAGTGCACTGTGAAGTCAGGAAAGTACATCTTCAAAAGTCTTGCCTCTTGGTTTTCACCATCCCTCTGCGTGTGTGTGTTTTTTAAACTGCACAAATGACTTAATTTACCTTCTTTTCCCTTTAATCCAACAAAATTTATTGAGAGCATCCTACTATGTTCTGAGGTTCACTGATAAAATAGATATGGGTCACTGTCCGCATGAATGTTATGAAGGTCATCTGATCTTCCATTGAAGACTGCTTTCTTACCATAGCAGTCTGACTTGGTTTGGACCCGTTTTTTCAAATGCCTGAGGTGGTTTAGTTGAAAACTGATACACAGGTGTTTTGTTTTGTTTTTTTAAACGAACAAGGCAATTTATTAACCCAGCTTTTTTTTTTTTTAACGTTTTATTTATTTCTGAGAGACAGCATGAGCAGGGGAGAGGCAGAGAGAGAGGGAGACACAGAATCTGAGACAGGCTCCAGGCTCTGAGCTAGCCGTCAGCACAGAGCCTTACGTGGGGCTCGAACCCATGAATCGTGAGATCATGACCTGAACCGAAGTCAAACACTCAACCGACTGAGCCACCCAGGCACCCCCAACCTAGCTTTTATTCTGATGATTCTAGGTGGAGGCTCCCACCTGTCTAGCAATTCTGTCCAGATAGGTCTCATCCTGGGGTGTCAGTTTGCAGCCCCCACCTTGGTCCTTTTCCATTGTTTTCAGCCTCTCTAGGGCTTGGAGGACCATGTGGGCCATGCTCTTGGCGGCTCTACTGAAATGGTTGGGCATGAACCCATTTATCTGAAGTTGCTGGTAGATGTTGGCCACAAAGCTGACCTCAGCACTGCCCCAGAGGTGCAGGTACTGTGCTGTTGAGGCAGCTTGTGTGTGGAACCAGTTCTCATTGCAGGGAGCAGGCTCTTTATGCTTGGCCAGCTTGACAGTGGCCACCCACTGAGGGGTTTTCAGCTCTCCAGACTTTTCGAGGAAAGGAGCCAGAGCTCTGACAAACTCCTGTTGGTTCACATCTTTTACAGAAACTCCAGGCATTGAGAGGCCTCCATGCTGCCAGCCAGGGGGCATTCTCCAGAAGCACAAGTCAGGCATTCTGCCTTCATTCTTGAAGATATTTTTTCTGGATACAGAATTCTATATTGGAATCCAATTTCCACCTTCTTCTCAACACATTTAGGGTATCATTGCACTGACTACAGATTTGCATTTGATGCTACTTAGAGTCAGCACTTCTTTGAAGATAATCTGTTCGAAGGTTTTTCTCTTTGTCTTTTGTTTGCTTTAGTTTCATTATACCTATGTTTGGGTTTTTTGTTGTTGTTGTTTTGTTTTTACTTTGTATAGGAGTTGCTGAGTCACTTAAATCAATGCTGGAAAACAGTCCTTATGTCTTCAAATATTGTATCTGCTCCATTCATATTCATTCTCTCCTCTCTTCCCCTCCTGCCAGAATGCCCAAAAAAATTTAGGTTAAAATTTCTAACCAATCTTCCTTTCCTCTCAACAACTTCTATTTTCCACTGTTTCATCCCTTTCTGCTGAGCTTCCAGATAACATTTCTCAGTTCACAAATTCTTTAACTATGTCAAATACACTTCCAATATGTCTCCTAAGTTTTTCATTTTGGTTACTGAGGCTTTTTCTTATTGCTCTGAGTATTTCACTCAAATCTGCTATATCACTGCTTTTATAATTCCCTGTTTCTGGCAAATATTTGCAAGCTTCTTTATTAAAACAGTGAAATTATTTATAATCTATGTATAATAACAACAGTATCTGAAGTATTTAGGTGTCAGTGCTATTTTTTTTTTTAAGTTTATCATTATTTATTTTGAGAGACAGAGAGCAAGCAGGAGAAGGGCAGAGACAGAGAGGGAGACAGACAGAATCCCAAGCAGGCTTCGTGGTGTCAGCACAGAGCCTAATGCAAGGCTCGAACCCACAAACCTGAGCCAAAATCAAGAGTTGGATACTTAACAGAACCACCCAGGCACATCAGTTCCTGCTCTTTCTTGCTGCAATTTGCTTATGGTGCTTTGTTTTCTTTTATGGTTGGTCATCTTTGTACGATGGATGCTCAATGGTTTTGAAAAGTTACCTGAAAGAGATTTTTGATGCCTAGAATTAAGGTGTCTTTCTTCAAAAAGTATATAAATTTGATTCTTCCAGGCACCTGGGGCAAAAATTTTCTTGGACTTCTTGCATTTTGTGACTTTGGCCAGTGATTCCACACAATGCTGGTACTGTTTTACAACCTCTGACAAACAGGTTCTCTTTCTTTTCTTATTCTCCTTTCTCCAATCTGTTCAGTACAACAGACCTCTCTGCAATCTTCTGCAGTAGGAAAAAGGCAGTGGATTTTTCCTTCTTCCTTAGGTTCCAGCTTGATATGGGAGACAATGTGTTAGGCTCAGAAACCTGGAAGTAATGACTTGCCCTTTGCCTTTGGATCCAACAAAATCTGAAGCTTAGTTTTCAACTGCTTTATCCAGATGGGAAAACGACTCAGGGTGGCCAGAGCTTTAAATACGTCTTTACCTTTTAGGTTCTTACCTTTTTTAGATTTTGGGTTGGCATGTTCCTTAATAGTTCTTTGATGCTGTAAAGAAGTTTTTGTACAATTCACCTAGTTTTTTAATTGTCTTCAGCTGAAGGGTTGGTCCAGATAACCTGGTCCAACATTACAGAAATAAGAAAATCAACCTTTTTAGGAAAAAATGAACCAAACATTTTCTAATGATATCCATAAAGTTTTTTGATAATGTTTTTGCCTTTTTTTAAAAGGAAAATGTGGAACAGAGATATCATATAGCCTGGCAAATTCCACTCCTAGGGAGATACCCAAAAGAAATGAAAACATGCCCAAATAAAACCTTGCACAAAAATTTCATAGCTACACTTTTATAACAGAAAGTGGAAACAATCCAATGTCCATCAACTGATGACTGAATAAACAAAATGTGGTATTTCCATACAATGGAATATTATTCAGCCATGGAATGAAGTACTAATACATGCTAAAAAATGGACAAACCTTGAAAATATTATGCTAAATGGAAGAAGCCAGACGCAAAAGAGAACATATTATATAATCCCATTTATATGAAATACCCAGAATAGGCAAATCCATAGACAACAGAAAAAAGCTTAGTGGCTGCCAGTATGAGGAGAGTTGGGAAATGACTGCTACTGGGTACCAAGTTTCTTTTTGGGTCGATGAAAATGTTCTGGAATTAGTGTTCACAGTTGTATGAACTTGTGACTATATTAAAAACCACTAATGTATAATTTTAAATGGTGAATGTTATGGTCTGTAAATTGTTATCTCAATAAAAAGAACAGAAAAAATGTTAATCTCAGGTTTCTCTTTTTTTTTTTAATTTTATTTTTAATGTTTTATTTATTTCTAGGAGAGAGAGAGAGAAACAGCGTGAGCAGGGGAGGGTCAGAGAGAGAGGGAGTCACAGAATGAAACAGGCTCCAGGCTCTGAGCTGGCAGTCAGCACAGAGCCTGACGCGGGGCTCGAACCCACGAACCGCGAGATCATGACCCAAGCGAAAGTCAGACGCTTAACCGACTAAGCCACCCAGGCGCCCCGCAGGTTTCTCTTAATACCCACTGTGGTACCCACTACCTACACTAAGTTACCTCACGGAACATTCAATTTCACAGGAAAAGATTTATAAAGATACCAGGCAATGTGAATGCACTTTATGCAGGTTACAGAAAATGCTATAAATCTTTACTGTGATTATGAATAATCTCACTGGAATTCATACCTATGGAGTCCTATATCCAGATATATTATGATAATCAGTGAACAGAACTACATGACATAAAAGCCAAGAGAATCTATGAAAACAGCTTTCTTTTATACCCTAAAAGAAACTAGCAAAATAATACAACCTCCCCCTCTCTGAATAATTTTCTTTTATATATAGCAGCCACTTATTCAGATGAACATAAGCAATGAATGCTCTCTTAAAAAAAAAAAAAAAAAGACCAAAACACCCTTCTATGATTAAACAATATGGTCTGCTCCACCACAATATGTTTGGGAATGTAAATTAGGTGATATGAAACTGGTAAATAGGGAACGGTGTCAGAATAATAAAGAAGTCACTCTGGTGCACTGGATTTTTCCTAGGCCAGAGGCACTAGGAAAGTTGGAACAAAAGTATAATGTTTAGCAGGAAAGGAAAAGACCTCCAGACAGCAGGAGTGTGATGTGCATTATAAGAAAATTGAAAAGGAGGACTTACCAGGAGCACTCCCAGCCCTGCTGCAGGTGGTAGTATTTCCCATGCTCACTTAAATGGCAACCCTTCACCCTCCACTGCTCATCGCTACGCTGCCATTGGCACTGTCCTTTGACCCACTATCTCCATCCTAATTAAAGTGTTGCCCGTGTTTCTTCAAGTAATTCTGTGCATTTATAATACCTACTGTGATAGCCACTAACTACACACTAAGTTACCTCACTGAGCAGTTCCAACTCTCTTTTAAATTGCTGGTTATTTTTTAGTTTGTGTTGCTTAGAACACAAAATTGCACAGGTTTTAGAGTTTGTGAGGCTTTCCAGGAACACATAAACAGCTAATTACTGCAGAAGCACCTGTACTTTTTTAAGTCTGTTTACTTCTGTAAAGGTTGGAAATACTACATGCTAGGAATCAATGTTGAAGATGAGGCAATACAGAGATAAAGGCATTATTTCCAGTGTTACAAAGTGAAGAGAATTACATCCCCTTCATTCCTGAACTTTATTTCCATGTAAACATACTCTGTTTTTTGTCCCTATAGCTCTGGGTAACATCTAACGATGTTTTAAGAATATCATAAATTAGTTACCACTGAAGTAAGCAACACTGCTTGTAGTTTAATTTTATAGGTCATTATTAAGCTGTGTGCTGTATCTTTGGGAATCCACTGGGAAGAATAGTAATGATCTTTAGCAAAGACTAGCCTCAGAAGTTCCACAGTCTTCAGAGGTAGATCCACGGTCTTCAAGAAAACATTATTTAAGTTGTGGTTTTGTCACTGCATACTCTTAAGACCTTGGATAAGCCTTTTGCTTTGTCTGACTCCCGCTTTCTTAGCATTTAAATAAAGTACAGAACTAGATCAGGGTTTCCAAACCTTCTTATAACACATAAACTCCTTTTCACAGTAATTTTGGTCATTTTTTTTCATAATAATAATGAAGTGATTTTAAGTAGAAATACTCAAATTGTTGCATTAAAGGAGATCATATTATAAAGATTTATAAAAAAATACTTGAGCACATTCACGTTATGATTAAATTCTAAATATTTCATTCTTTACATATGATGTGCTCTTAAATTTCTTACAGATCACTTGAGAAAAAGTATGACATGTCAATATATTATCATCTTTAGAACAAAGACTTAACCTCCACTTTAATCACCCTTCCCCATTCAAACCAAGTGGGATAGCATTCCTCTTCATAAAATCTCAACATTACTAAAGACTTATCATAATTAAAAGATGGGATCTCAGTCTATTTTTAAAAGCTATAAACATCTTTTAAAATGCTGATAAATCTGCTGCCAGATTAGTATTCTTGTAATAACTGTCTGAGTACCCAAACTTCTGAACACCACCAAGGGTTGCCCAATGTCCATGAGGCAAATGTCAAATGCCACAGACTGGTATTCAAGAAACTCTATCAACTACACCCGATCTGTCTGTTCCTCACCTTTATAACTCACATATACAAATTATTCTACAAAAATGTGTATAATGTATAGTAAACACTGAGGCTTATTTTTTTGGTATGTATACCCAGTTTTTCTAGCACTGTCTTTTGTTAAAAAGTTTCCTTTTCACATTGATTTCCCTGAGCACTTTTGTCAAACATCAATTATCCATAAGGATACGGTCCGTTTCTGAGCTCGGTGTTCCATTCCACTGAGCTACATGTCTGTCCCTGTTCAAGTGCAACTTCCTGGATTACTGCAGCTTTAGAGTACGTCTTAGAGGTGGAGCATCAGGCTAGCACAAGCCAGCAAGC